AGGTGTGGTAAATAGTGGAGGGTGACTTTTTTTGGCTATTAAGAGCACTACTTAAAATGCTACAGTAATACAGAGAATATACAAAACCACTACACATTCCATAGAGGAAATTTACATAATTTAGTAGGGATTTTTTTTCCCTCAACATAAAGGCAATAAAATCACCACAGCAATATATTTTTTAAGTGCATTAGATTAAAATGTTGGTCCCTCATATTTCAATTCTCTTTAAATTTAGGAAGCTGATGGTGTGGTATGGAAAAACTATCAAAATTAAAGGAAACAACCCTTTTCCTTATAGCCTCTTTTCTTCTTACCTTAGAAGATGAAGAATCACACTCCTGACATATCCATCCATAGCCTGTTTGTTTAGGAGATTTTTTCAAAGGAGGATCCAAACAGCCAAAATGGTAGCAGAGTCTGCATTCATCACACCTGCAGAGTAAACAGATTTATACAATACCTAAATAACGCAAAAACCATGTTTTTAGAAAATACAAAGGCAAACTACTCTATACTTCAATTTTAACACTATAAATTCTATTCTTGGCTCACAAGATTATTAATGTTTCTGACAAAGGCAACTTAAACCTGAAATAAATGTTTTAGGAAAAACAAAATACAACAACAATAAAAATGACAAAAATACAAATATCATTCAGAACACTTTGATAGTAGAAATGTTAAAAGAGCATATGAATGAATATATGTGTATAGTCATATGTGCTAAAGACTAACAAAACCTTGACAATTTCAAATATAAAGTTAAAGAATTAATCATTTACCCATTAGATAGGGAGATTTAAAAACATTTAACAATACTAAATACATATAATTCAAGATTATAAATTCAATTCAATACATTATGAATATTTTCTGAATTTTGAAACTCTAAGAAATTCTACTAGGCTACACTAAACTGGAATTAGTGATTAACAATTTATACCTCATCACTCTATCCAAGTTAGAGTAGATTGCTAACACAATCTATAGCAAATAAACACAATTTTTATATTAAATCACAGCACTTAAATATACAAAAGAGGTAAGAAACCTCTCTAAGAATCTGATATTTTGTCTCAAAAGTTGCGTGTCACTTTCTCTCAGTGCATTTGGTTTTTTTCAAAGTATCTCCTACTACATTTTAAAGCTTATTAACAATTCTTTTGTAAGTGTCTTGGCCACCTATGATGTACAAAATCTAAAAAAACTATCATACCTATTCTTCGTTTCAGACAATCTCATCCTGCTGACAATGAAGAAAGATCTGCATTATTTCAGTGTTTTATAAAAAGAATGTTGCATCAGTTGGAATAACAAGACCAAAATTTAACAACAAATAAGATGTATACATCTTAAAGAAGTGGTTATCTTCTTCACTTTGTGTAATCTTTGTAATATTTTTATTTATTAAAAAAAAAAAAACTTTCTCCAAACCAATTCTGTCAGATTGTCAGATTGTCTTTATCATTATTCTTACTGATTTAAAACTTCATAAACTGAGAGATCCACAACTAAGAAACTAGAAGGAAAAACTTATAGAAGACAAATTATTTGAATAAAGTGCAAAATTACTATTAAATAAACTTTGTTAGAAAAAAGGGAAAGGAGCTCTTATTATAAAAAATACAAAAGAAAAACAATTGACTTTAAAATGCCCATCACAATAAAGGGAATTATAATCTACATTTATAGTAAACATTTCATATCATCCTACAATTACTCAATCTCCCAAAGACCCATTTTGGAAATCAGAGTTTCAGAAAAGCTAAGCAACTTAGCTAAGTTATTCAGGTATAACAAATTTAAAACACAATTGTATGTCATAATGTATGCGTTTTTTTCTCTACAATTTTTCACTTTATGAACCAAATAAGCTTACGTACTTTTCTTCCTCAAAAATCTTCTCTTTTAGGCTCAAGATACCAAAATTTCCGCAAATGTTAGCCTTATATGGATTCCAAAAAAATTTTACTATGATAATTCTAGTCACAGAAACAGATAAAATCAAATAGGAATAACAATACTTTATTTAATATGTCAATATTATAAATACGTCATCCAAAGTATATATTCAAAAACAGTTAAAATGTTCAAAAACCTGTTTTTCTGGAATTAAGAAAAAATAGGAAATAATACAGCCCACCTCCAGTGTAACATAGACTAAGTGATAAGCCCACTCAATTTTATGCTTTTTCCCTCGATACAACTTATGTACCTTCCAATAGCTAAAATTTCAGTTACATTTATATATGGTTATAGGAACCCTCAGAGTATAAGTATTTCTGAGTTGAGGAGAAGATAGCGATTTCTAGATAGTTGAGGGCATACTCCTTCAAACATGAAAACTAGTACATCAGTCATCTTTGACTGAAAATTGAAAAGGAATCACATATTATGCTTCATCAATATAGTAAATATAATTCACTCCATCATTGTCACCTCAGAGTTATAATATGAATAATAGATACTGCTACGTGTCTAACAGCGTGCCAACACTTTGTACCCGTAATGAGTACCGTTAGTCGGCTGATCTGTTTGAATTCTTGTGTTAACTTCTACAGGTTTTCGAAGTCCTCACTTGCTTGATAATATCAGCCACTGCTTCCTGACATTGTCAGTGAGCATTTGTCCCCAACAATAAGTTGTTGTGGATTTAGAAACCAGCCTACTAAACTTAATATTATGCAAATTGACAGTTAAAAGTCATGGAAACAAGAACTTCTACTGAGTTAAGTATATGGATACAATTTTGGTTGTTTAGTCTTTTTTGCTAAACTTCAAGTTTTTTGGCCAATTCATCTGAGTTCTCAGTAAGTGAGGTGTTATGGCATTAATATTTTCATAGTTCAACATCAAATTACAATTACTGAATATTTATTTTATAACTGTGCTATAATTTACAAATTATGATTCCTAGTATATAACGAGGCAAACACCATTATGAATGTAAAGGTGTATCATAATTCATTTTTTTCATCTTCATGTATTTAGGTGATTCTTGTTGTAAAATAAGAGTTTCCAGTTAATAAATTAATAACAGGTTTGCAACACTGAAGTAGTTCCTATCTGTTGCAGATTTCAATTAATATAAAAATCAAGTTATTTTTCAGCTCAAGAACTAATGTAAACAGAAAAACGAAGATTTTACATGCTAGCTTTGTGAAAAGATAATGTTGAAATATATGTCATTTTCAGATGACCTAATTCTTACTGATTGATTCTTTTATTAGTGATACCTTTCAGAACAACTTAGTCTACATATGGAACTCTAATGTACTTGTGATGGTTCCAGAGGAAAAGTAGAATTTGCTTGTCAGAATTAGGGGTGATACGGAAGTTCTCTAAAGTTCTAGCTCATTCATGAGGAAATCAAATCTACAACTGCAAGACTAAATGGCAAAAAGATAATACCCTCAGGAACTGCCAAAATCCAGGAGAGAAAAGAAAAAGCAGAAAGAAATAACCCAATCTTGAAGTTAACAGCTCTGTTGATAAACAAGTAAATATATAAATACACGCTTTTTCTAGAGATGTCTGAAATTATTCCCATGTGGAAAAAATCTGGTTGTTTCTACATTAGAATACTGAATCGAAGAATTTCATAGCTTATGTGCTACTTATATAAGTAGCACATAAGCTTTGAATTTCATATATATATATACATATATATATATCTTATAAAAACACAATGAACTCTAGCAGAATTTGCAAGAATCAACACACCATAGACAAATGTAAGAGATACCATTAAGAATCTTAGAAATCAAACAACAATGTAGATGGTCAAAATAGTGGATTACTTATTTCATGCACACACACATCAGTTTGTATCCTTTAGTAATTCTTGTCAGCAAAAAATTCTGGCTATGTTACAAATTTAGAGCATTTCAAAAACTCAAAAATTAGAAACTTGTATAAATGTCTGCAATCATTCTGCTACCTAAAGCTGAAATATGAGTTGAGGTAGTTATTGATCAAATTACTGTTTATGTTTTCTACCTTTATTTCTTACATATATTTGGAAACACATCATTGCAGCACATAATATAATACATATCTAATTTATCAAAGTATTGAATAAAATGTTTTGCAAAAGCAGTCATTACCAATGAAAGTATAGTGATGTAACACGATATACTTTATTAAATAACACAAATGCCTATGTAATAAAAACAGATTATTTTACTATACCAATAGCACATTATTAAACAGAAATGCAATGTCTTAAAATATTAAAAGAGAATATAAACTGACCTTTAAAGAAATGCTATGAAATTTTTTTTAAATAAAAATGCAAATTGGATGATTAAGAATTATCTTTTAAGCATCTAATAAATACTGTACACATTAACACTAAAATCACAATTTTAAATGAGATAAAATGAATCCCATTTACAAGATAAAAGGAAACCTAATTGTTTAATTAGATTCTTACTAAGTACAACTTTCTAAACATCAGATTCATAATGGATACAAATGTAAATAATAAAGTAGCTTTGTATTTGCCTTTTACATAGTGATTTAACAAAATGCAGTCACTAAAAAACATAGCTCTATATGTATTTAAAATACTTACTTAGCATATGATTAAGTATAGCACCCTAGACAAAGAAGAGGAAGAAAATGATTTATGTACATGTGCACTATGATCTATCCAACAAGCAATCAGTCATGTGTTTACCTGATTACTGAAAATATGCATACAAGTAAAAAGAACTGATTTATTTCCTTCTGTGCCTAAGAGACAGGATAAAAGTCAGTGTTCCAAAGGGTTCCTTTTACTCTTTCAATTTACAGTTAATAATTTCAATAGGGGAGTACACTAAATATGTTTTTAAAAGTTGCCAAAAGACGTAAGTGCACCTCCTATACATATAATTTACAGCCAGATGACAATCTAAACCTCAGGTAAAAGTGAAACATAACACTCGTAACAGGAACTTGAAAAGAGATGTACTTTTTTTCATGATCAAGTTGATCAAAGATCATAGCTCTTTTTTTTGTATCAATGAAACATAGTATTTAGATCCCTTACAAATCTACAGAGTAAAATTAAGAACTGATTCTAAACATACATACTATTACTTCTGTTCACACTTAAAAAAACTAAATATTAAGAGAATTGATATGCTGAATATTTTTCATTTTTATGTAAAAATTCTATACCACAAAGATCAAAAGAATTAAGTCTTCAGATTTCAATAAAAATTTCACTAGCAACTCAAACACCCACACAAATCTATTAACCAGTAATGATTAATTCTTTCATTGAATCATGGCCAATTATTTCAATCACACATCTTAACAGATGGAGAAAATGTGGGATAGTGGTCCATGAGTGATATTATTTTTTACATATGCTTGCACAAAATTTTGCATCCTACCAATGTTAGAATAACATTTAATATCAATAAACAATAATTTAATCCTTGTATTTTACAATAGTGTTCGTGCAAACTACTACATGAGCATTTTCTATACAAATTAGAAAATATCTTTTATATCATGTTTTACATGTGGAGGACTTGAACCTGTTTCCATTAATGCAATTATCAACTTCTATCACAGGCAATAGTGAATGAATGGGTAGTAAAAAAAGACAAAAATATGCTTTAACAAAATATTAATTGGAAAAATATTCGGATAATTATCCAAATCCATATTTAATAGACAAAGAATAGGATCAATTCAGCTACATCTGCAGCAGCCAGGTTACAAGATTAAAAGTGAAATGAATATATAAAACAAGAAATGAAATAGTTCATATAAAAATACAGAATAAGGTCAAGTACCTCTTCACAGCATGAGAGATTGATTAGGTATTCCCATACCTGAAACACGTCTGCTATGTTCTTTAATAAACTGATCTCCATCTGCTCATGCCCTTGGAAATTTTTCAGCAGTACAACCTGCTGTGCTCAAGCCCCACATAACTTTGTATTTCCCTGTTCATAATTAACTAATTTACACTCTAATCAACAGTGTAGATCCTGATTTTACAATGTAAATCAGGTAAATGAGATAATATCTAGGAGGTCAATCTCACTTTATTTACAAAGCCCAGCATGAGAATCCAATTTCATTATATCCTTTGTACCAGAGCAGCAGTGAGTCTTATCAGCAGGCCTGCAGAGTGTCTTACAGTAAGCACTGGGGGAAAGAGGTATACATTTTAATAAAGGAGAACTATTTGCAAAGCATGTCTATCTCAGAAATATTGTAAATCCCAATCCTTAATATTATGTAAATTTGCAAAGTGCTGACTCAGATTAGCAGGAAAAAAATTCTGCTTCATATGATGCCACGTGACTCTAAAGCTGAGTCTCTTAAAAAGAGTTTTAATAGTCAAAAACAACTCCATAAACTAAAAAAAAAAAAATTTTTTTAAATAACAAAAGTAGCCTACTCTCTGCTGCAGAGTCTTTATGAATTATTTTGGTGAAATATTTAGAAAATATACCCATATTGTGAGTCAAGTAAATATTTGGTGAGTTTTGTCAAATTAGTGACTTAAAGTGTTTAAATAAGAGGTAAAAACAGGGAAATATGATCACGAGTGCGAATATTCTTATCATTTATTGGTCAGCAATTATTTTTAACAACATAAATGCAAAAACAAAATATTCAAGAGACAAATGACTGACATAATGATAATGCATAAATATAATTTATAAACAAGATGGATTAAAGTTAAAGCTAAATTTTGTTTTCATGTTCAAACATAATACTGATTTCAAGTCTGTTTTTACAAAGAATTACTGAATTATGGACAAAGGCTATGTTCTTTCAGAGTTCCTTAATTCATCTCAAATAATCATTCAACTGCTGTCCCCACAATAGGTATAAAATAAATATTTAACTGAATTTACAAATATAAAGAAATTGTATTTTACATGTTATAAATTCTTTTATCTAGAAGCAAATATTTTTGAAACTCTGCCCTTCTAAGGAGACTTAAGACATATTCTTTTATCAATGTTGAACAAAATACAAGGGTTTTTTTTTTTTTCAATACTATATACACATGGTTCTCAAAGTGGAGTCTCCAGCCAGCAGCATCAGTATCACTTGGGAACTGGTTAGAAATGCAAAATTTCCAGGCCTTATCTCAGACCCACTGAATCAGAAACTCTGGGGTGGGGGGTGGGGGCAACAGTAAGGGAATAGGGCAGAAATCTGTTTTAACAAATCCTTCCTTGGTTTGAGAACCACTGCTATATAAAACTATGTCATCCTTCTCACATTTCAAAGTAATTTAATTTCCTTCATATTTTATTTCTGTGTTCCTTTTCCTATTGTGTGACAAATAACCATCATTTACCTGACATGCTGTTTTCTTCTTACATATGTGTGTGAAATATGAACCATTTAGTGCATATTGAAGTACAAATTAAGTCTTCTTTGAATAGCAAGTGGACCAATTATGGACAAAGGTTAATTTATGCTGTTGAAAACAGAAAAGCATTTAGGAGATTGATTAATCAGGAGAGAGAAAGTGTTTCATTCTACTCCTTTCACTGAAAGTTTTCCTACTCCAACCACATTCTTTCCAGATTTATCTTATAAAATATGTGGTTTATATTTGTGATGTGTAACAAAGATTCTTAGGTTAGCACCAAAATATGGAATAGCATAATCACCACGTAAGATTACAAGATGGACAATGATGATAATTAATATTCTAATTGCAATGAAGGTGGAAACGATTTTGATTAACAAGTGATACCAAAACCAGAAGGATTAATGATTCTCAAAAAAGACCTAAAATAAAATGACCAACAGTAATTCTCACCATATACTAAAGGAGGGCCAGGTCCTAATTCATTAGTATATTCCATTAAGAAAATGGGTATCTGGCATTTTTCTTAAAATCAGCTGGAATTCAGCAAGAGTAATAATTACCTACTTTTTCTTAAGCTTATATAGTGATAATTAGTCCTTTCTTATTCTTTAAAAAAAAAAGTTTACTGGTTTTACTACAGATGATTAATATTTTTCCTCCAAAGTTGTAAGAGATCTTTCAATAAATTAATAACCTCAGTTTATACATAACTTTATACACATTATGTTATTTTATTAAACATATTACCCAAATGTATGGTTCCTTACTATAACTATAGATTACTAGCATACAGCAACTTTATATTTACACTTGTTTTTGATTATCTATAACATTGCCAGCTCTATTCCTAAAGTTTAAACTAGCTTCAATTGCCACCAAACGTGAAAAGATGTCCAAAACCACATTTATAAATCCGGGAATTCCAAGAGGCATGTTGACAATTTACATGTACATGTGCATTTGAATTTCAGCAAAGAGTCTCTTCTAAATCAGTTCAAGATGGAATGATGGAATATTCAACATATTTCTGTCGTTGAGTTAAAACTGGATCATTAAAGCTTGAAGATCAAATTTTAATTCTGTAAACCTCTGGAAATACACACATGTTGATGAAGATCTCTCAGCTGGTAGGTTGTATAGTCAATAAGCTCTGTATCTCCCTCCTTATTTCATAATTTCATATTTAATGTTGAGAAAATGAAATTATACTGAACACAGCAAGTCCATATTAAAACAATAAAGACTGAATAAATTTGGGTATTACTAAAAATTATCTAGAGACCAACACAGATATACTCTTATTCATGGACTTGAAATCTGAAATTTAAAAAAGAATCTCATGCTAATAATACTAGTGCCTTCATACTAGGACTAGTGAGTCAAATCTAGAATGTCACAGCTTCACAAGCCTTTCACTTTTACTGAATATTATAAATGGAAATACGTTTAATATAAGAGTCTATAGTTGTTCCACAACGCAGCATTTCATATATGAATAAATGTATTAAGTTGGATGAAACAGAATAGCAGACTAATGGGAAGCATTCTTTTCTTGTTTGTTACTGGTATTGTTCAACAACAGAGAGTAGCATATTGCATTTAAGTCTCACAGGCTTCCAAAACTCTTCAGTAAGTCCAAACACTGTATATCATCATACGCCAAAAAAAGCAGGGGGAAAAGACATTACTTAATAGGACAATTCTGATGAGACATTTATCCAGTATTTTTCAACAATGCACATATCAAATGTTTCTGATTAGTGCAAAAAAGAAAAAATCCACACAGGCAAATTAACTGCCTTGTCAGTCTAAGTAACAAACCAATCAATTATATTCTATCCAAACCTGACAAGCAAATGAAACTTTTTGCAGTGATAAGCTTATGGAAAGGACAAGATAGCTGTTCTCCTTTACTTTATGGATTCTATTGAGAGTTTTATCCACATTTTTAAAATCACACTTATAAAAGAGGTTTCCGGGATTGCCTCCGAGGATGAGCTGTGGCAGAGTTGGGTCTCATGAAGGGTATCTACACAGTAAAGTGATAAGAAAAGAACATTAACATTTAAAGATCATAGCAGCTCTGCACTATGTCTTATGAAACATACTAACAATATTCAAGCAGATTCAAATAACATATGATCTGGTCCAAAGAGACAGATATGCTAAATCAAATGCTATGATCTTGTGTAGGTTCTTATCGGTTAAACTGTTATCATCTGAAACATTCAGTTGCCTCCTCTTGTATTATTAGTACGAGTATTAAATCTATCTTACTAAAACAAAAAATAATTTGAAAACAATGTGGGTCTGGTATTTATATAAGCAAACATGTTTTTGATCAATAAATATTTTGAAAGATAGCAGTTTGCTCTTTTTTTCATTATATATGGCACTTTAACAATGCTTGAGAAAGCATGTAACTCTGCTGAAAACAAGCACACCTAATCAGCATATTACAGAGCTTGTCATACTCTATCATAGAGTCTCAGGGAAGAAAATTTTCATAGGATTTTTATCCCCTGAACCTACACCACCTTCCTTTTTAAAAGAGTATACCAAAAATGTTTGGTTATAATTGTTTAAAGTATACCCAAGCTAGCCAGTTTAGTGGATTGTGCAACAAACAGGACATGAGAATAAGACACTCACTGCAACGACTTGATCATTGATCATAAATGATTATAAAAAGTATATTCATTTTGGGCAAATTTGCAGAACATATTCATTTGCACTTATTTCTCTGAACTTTATTCATTGTTTCCTGTATTTATTTCCCTACTCACAAGTATTTATTTGCTACCTTTGTGGTATCTTTATTTTCAGAGAAATTTCAGATGCTTAGGGATCATAAGTAACATTTTTTTACTTCGGTAAACATACAAATTAATCATTTCCTTCAGATATTTAGATCTGCGTAGATGTAGGTGAAATTGCCAAGCAGTCACACATCAGAGAAAAAGTCTGTTTTGGTATTTAACTATTAGAGACGTGTTTAATGCTTCTAAGTTCCATTGAGAAAAAGAAAGTGAAAAGTGGCACACAGACAGATAAAGCATACTGAGAAAAGCTACCATGCCAAACTGAATAATCTCAAAAACAAAATCAAAAACAAAACTGTACAATAAGAAAAAAGAATATAGTGTGAAACAGATTTCAGAGAAATTTTATATTTATCAATATATGAGAAATAGAAAGAGTTGAATTCCCTTGTTGAATAGTAAGGTCACGTGCTAACTGCTTATAAGGCTTCAATCTCCAAGTAGAAAACTCTGAGCACAGTCTGAATCTGATATTCTGAGAAGTGCTTTGGAGGTTAAGTACTACAGGAAAAGCATAATGCAAGAGGAAGCAACCACATAATCTACAACAGAAGTGCAACTAACTCTTAACTATGTGCACAAATGATGAATACTAGCAGAAAATCCAAAATATGTATTTGTATTTGATATACTTTTGAATATAGATACATTAGATATGGAAATCTGCTTCAAACCTCAAATTCAAGTTAAAATTACCTTTGAAAAAATAAAAGCGCTATCCCTAATATTCCTCCATCCTAAATTTCATTTAATATTCCAAAATATCCCTTAAAGAAAGAATAAGCACTACTTGTCTTGGTTCATTATCTTCCTAGAACAAAAGACAGTTCTTTTAAATCAGAGATCACATTTTGGCTTTGTATTTATACTGTATGGCACTTAGTAAGTTTATTTACAAATTAATGTAAAAAAAAAGGAATTAACTGTTACATATAAATATAGTCTATACTTTTGTATAGTTAGAATTGTCCACCATGAGGAAGTATCTACTTCTTTTGCCCCAACAAAGCAGTGCAGTGTGGTCAGGCAGTATGAGTAATGCCTAGAGCATGAGCTGTATAGTCAAGACTGCCTAGATTCAAACTCTAATTTCACCACTTTCTAGTTGTGCAATCTTGGGCAAGTAATTCTTAGTTTACTGACCTGTAAAATAGGGATAAAGTTAGTATCTACCTTATATGAAACCCTGGTGGCGTAGTGGTTAAGTGCTACAGCTGCTAACAAAAAGGTCAGCAGTACAAATCCATCAGGTGCTCCTTGGAAACTCTATGAGGCAGTTCTACTCTGCCCTATAGGGTTGCTGTGAGTCACAATTGACTCAACAGCAACAGGTTTAGTTTTTTTTTTTTTAATACAGTGGCTGTGAGGATTAAATAAAATATGGAAGGCACTAGCACACTGACTGGTACAAAGTAAGTGCTCTATACATGCCAGGAACTATTAATTTTAAGGACAGTAGATTTATCAATATGATAGTAATATTTTAAGAGGAGAGATTATATAATCTAATTTATATAACTTAGATACATAATTTAAGCAATTTCTATTTTATGTTGTTTAGTGTCTCTATATCTCAGTTACCGCATCTCTAAAACGGAAATTTTCATACCTCATAGGACTGTTATAAGAACTAAATGAGATAATACATTTATAGAACAGAGGACAGAATCTGGGACACAGTAAATAATCTGACATTGGCATTATTATAATTCCAAGGCCATAACGATTTTTTTTTAATGTTTTTCTGGGGTTCAATTACAAATGTTCAAAACAGAGATTCTTATACATTATTTCTTACATATCAAAATCTAGCATCATCACTAAAATTTATAACCAATCTTAGTTTCAAATTCATTTTACCTCTCATTTCATTAATTTTACAATATGTCTATTTTATATGTTCAGAACAATTATAAAACCAATACAAATCAAACTTTGTTATACAAGAACAAATGAAACAGGATGTTTAATTTTTAAAAGAAGAAAAACCAGAAAACAATATAGTTGGCTTTTAATGCTAGAAGATGGATTATACACGTTTTGTATGGCATCAAGGGTTAACATTTTTTAGGAGAGACATGTCAGCTTTCTTGGAGAGAAAAATTACCAATGGTCAGAGCTGCCTCAGAGGGAGTGGGTTACACACCTCTACTCCTGACGAAAGCTTGTTCCCTGTCACTTAGTAGTGAATCCTGGGGAGAAGAATCAAGTACCAGATGGATGGTGAGATGACTGACTTCAGGATCCTTTTCAGAACTCTATAGTGTTTATTCTAGAATCTTCTTGAGTTATAAAACTTATGAAATTTGAAAACTAAAGGTTGATGCTCTCGGAGCCCTGGTGGCTCAGTGGTTAAGAGCTCGGCTGCTAACCAAAAGATTGGCAGTTTGAATCCACTAGCCAGCTGCTCCTCGGAAACCCTATGGGGCAGTTCTACTATGTCCTATAGGGTCACTATGAGTTAGAATAGACTCAGTGGCAACGGGTTTTGGGCTCTCATTTTACAGATGAGAAAGTTTGAAGGTTATTTGATTCAAGGTCATTCAGATAACAAGTAACAGAACTATGGCTAGAATCAGTCTTTTCAAATGATTAAGTATCTAATAGATAATTCCTTCTTATGTATAAGTTAACAATATTACCACACTTCCAACGGAAAATAAGTAGAAAACTGCAAAAATAAATTCTTATTGAAAAATAAAAATGAGTGCAATGAGAAATATTTCATTGCTGTATGTGCTTGAAATTATGATGCTTACTTCCTTAAAACCACATATCCCAAAATTACCACACTTCACTACGCAATGTATACCATATTCAGGCTTCTGTTTTATTACAAATTTCAAAAAGAAAATTTAAAAATTCAAATGTTTATAACATATAACATAAAAGATATTTATGAATTATACTAAGGTATTTAAAGATACAGTGTTTTAATATGAATTTTAAAGTCAAAGGATGTCATACACTAAATGCGTGAGTCAGGACAGCCATTCCATATGTCTAACATCATCATCAACTTAATTACAGAATAAAAATATTCCAAGTAAACATTTTCTTTTTAACCTAAATTTTATAAGAATACTGCCTTCATAAAAAAATTCAGTTGTACCTAGGCTACCTTCATTATAAAAATATATTCTGAAATTAAACATCTCTTCCCCCTATTTTTACTAATAGAAAAGCATTCTTTAAAAACCACTCTTGAGAAAAGTTTCACTAACAAGACCCAGTTTATTTTCTAATTCCCTCTTTAGAATCTAATCTCTTTGTGATGTACAAAGCAGCACAATTTTAGACCTAAAAACTAGTTTAAGTCATTATTTTTATAAAGTCAGGTCTAAGACAGAACAGTCTGCACTCTTGGTGGTAGGGATGGCCAAGAAACTTTTAAGAACTTCTAATAAAAGCATTCAATTTTATATTTTAAAGAGTTTTGTGCTGAATGACCTGTTACTCTAAACTGTTCAATAAACGTCTAAGACAATTAGAAAATGAAGTAAAGAACAGCAGGGTCGGAAAGGAATGAAGAAGTAGGAGAACATAGGCCCTAATTGGATATTAGGGAGGACACTAGTAGACTTTCCACAAGGGCTGGATATAGGTTCTGGCCATTTTATTGGGTAAGAAAAAGATCCAAAAGACTGAAGGAACTGAGACTATATTAGAGCCACAGAACCTGGCTATATGAATGAAGTGAAAAACAACAGGGAAAGAAGGCGAGAGGAAACACTAAAGCAACGAAGGTCGACGTGGTAGAGAACAGTGAAACAGACATTGAGAAAGGTCTCACAGAAGCCATAAGAATGGAAAAGGCAGGAAATAGATATCAGGAAATGTTATGATGGGAAATCCTTCCCAAATTATTCTGTTATTTTTAACTTTCAATTAATATCCAATGGCTAAATCAGAAAATTGTTTTGAACAGAACCTTTAAAAATATGTGAATAAAAGTAAATACACTAAGATGTTATAAAAATCATGGGCGGTTTAAACTTTTTGTATTTTTTTACTTTCAAAATCTTTATAATGAACAAAATTTTTAAAAGAAAAATATGAAAATTTCTACTCACATCCTTTTAAGTTTTTTTAAAATTAATACACTTTATTTTTAGAATAGCTTTAGATTAACAAAAAATTAATCAGGTAGTAAAGAGATTCTCATATACCTCATACACACACACACATGCCTTCCTTCCAATTTAAA